TTGCTCTCACAAGCACGCAGCACGGCGCCCTCCGGCCATCTCCATCTGTCCGAGGGCGGTGGCCCACACCTCTGCCTTCTGGAGCCAACCCTGCAGACGCGCACTCAGGGGGCTCAGTCTCTCCCTAGACGCCCTTTTCTGTAAGCCTGCCTTGCTGGGAATCTTAGCCCTAAACCTGCAAATGGCCTGAACTGTTGGGATCCACACGGGGAGGGGGTAGGCCTGGAGAGCCGAAAAACTAACATTTCCCCTTCTTCTTGGTTAACAAATAATCTTAATTTTTTTTTTATTATAGAAATGATAGGTACTTACGATGAACACATTCAATGTTATAGAAACCCACTAGTAGAAAGGGGCAGCCATATATTGTGGTTAGCCTAGCCTACCTTAAACGTGCTCAGAACACTGACTTTACCCTGTAGTTGGACTAAATCACCTACCACAAAGAATGCCCTGTAGAGTGTCTGCAGTTTACCCTTGCAATTGCGTGGCTGCCTGGGAACGGTGGCTCGCTGCCACTGCCCAGCATCACGGGAGAGTATCGGACGGCATATCAGGCCCGGGGAAAGGTCAACATTCAGAATTAAGTACGGTTTCTACTGAATGCTAATTGCGTTCGCACCATCTTAAAAGTTGAGCCATTGTTAAGTCACCGTCTGAATAATATTCTATTGTTGGGGTGTGCTCTAACTTATTGATTCCCGAAGGACATACATTTGGGTCATTTTCAATCATCCCCTATTATAAATAATGCTTCAATAAATAGCTTCTACCTAAATCTTTGCTTGTTTACATGGCTGTCTCTTGAATAAACTCCTGGGTATGGAATTTTGGGTCAAAGAATGTGCTTGCTGAGAAATGTAACAGATTTGGCCAAACCTCTATAACAAAAGAGATACCACTTACATTGCCCAGAGCTCACGTCTTCCTTATACCAGCTCAGCCATGTCCTGTGGATACTTCTTCTGTTGGATCTCAGAGTTAAAGGTATCCTAACCTGGCCTCCTGGGGACACTGTGCAGTCCCCTTTCTGCTCCCTTCCCATGCCACCTCTAAACTACTCTTGCACCTGTGCAAGTCAAAGGGCTTTCCCCAGGGCATCTTATTAGATCCTACCTCATGGGGTACAAAGGAAAAATACATCAACACCATCTGGGATGTGAGGGCCTAAGAGGTCAAGCGACTGGTCCAGGGTCCCCAGATGGCTGGAGAGCAGAGATGAGAGGCCAGCGCCCTGCCTTCTCACCGGGTGCCTTTCCCAACACACCACCAGTACCCAGGGATGGTGATGGAAGTCTGGGAAGAGCACGGTGAAGGAAGTCTTATCGGACAGGAATTAATGTTACTAACAGTTATTTAAAATACCTATTATGGGCCAGACACTGGGGTATAGAGATGGAACAAGACCTGCTCCTTGCCTCGAGGGGGCTCAGTGTCCAGTGGGAAAGGCAGACCAGCCCTTGGGTCATGTCAACTTGCGGTATTCAAAGCCACGCTGGCAATGATGCTGGTGTGACCCTTAATCAGTACAGGGAGCACAGGTAAGGCTGAGAGGATGCCATTTCTATCAGCTGAGCTCAGAAAAATGAGTGTGGGTTGGCCAGACTAAGGAAAGGCATTTCAGGAAGAGTGAAAAGTTGGAGCCTCCAAAGATGGCCTACCATGTGAGCCTGGGCCTCGTGAACAGTTCTGTATGGCCGGGCGAAGTGGACATCTATGGGTAACCTGCTCCCTATCCATGCCCATTTCTGGATATAGTGACTAGACTTTCCTTTGGGGAACTAGCCCATGCCCATCTTCCTGGTTCCAGGATGAGCATGTGACTGCAGCTGACCACTGAGAATGTTGCTCAGGGATAGGGCAAGGGACCAGCAGGTCAATGAGATTCAACTTGGGGACTTCTACAGGAATGATGGGAGACAGAGACTCTCTTTCCAATGGGCAGCTGGGTATTTCTGCAGAGAGAAAGTCTGCCTGAGCAGGAGGCCAACCCACATGAAAGCAGAGCCACGGGACTGAGAGAGATGGAGAATGGATGAAATGGGTTAGTCACTGGGTCCAGCCAGGCCTGGAGGGCCTACCCTGGCATTTCTGTTGTGTGGGCCAATCAATTCTGAGTTTTCACTTAAATCAGGGTGACTAGGATTTTGGTCACCTGTAACCAAGAGTCCAGGCTGATGCAATGGGATAAGAGGGCAAGGGGAAGGGTGGAGACGAGCAGGTGTCAGCTCATGGAGGTAGGTGCAGGCCAGGTATGGAGTTAAGCCACCAGAACTGGGAAGGCTCTAATCATCAAGCAGGGGAACTCTGGTAGTGTGACTGCGTTTTGGAACAAAATCTATGCTGGCTAAGAGAGAGAGAATGAGAAAGAGGGGGAAAAAAAGAGTCAGTGACTCTTCTGGAAATTTCAGTGTCTTTAGAACATCTTTTCTGGGGTTTTCTCATCAGGATAGATGGCCTAGTCTGGAATTGGAGCCAAATTATTAATCCATCGGTCCTGATGGCACGTATCAATTTATCTTAATTTCTGAAAATACACAGCCTTTCAGACAGTGTCTTTTCTCTGTCACTAAGAAGAAAAGGGATCTTAGCAGAGATAAATCAGAGGGAACTTGGCCCTTCGTAAATGCCCTGCTCTGGCTGAAATAGAACACCTGGTGTTTCAGGGAGGCGTCACCAGCAGATGAATGGGCTCTCCTGTCCCCTCGGCGCTGTGGCATGCTGTCCAGGAAAGCCTGGGAGACAATGCACTGGCAGATGGGCTGTCACGGGCTCCAGGAACTTACTCTCTTAAAGCCAGAAGAGAGAAAGCTAAGGGAGACCCTTCCAGACCCAGAGCCTCTTCATTATACTGCCTCCTTTCCCCTCGAGAGTGAGGGATGTAATTGGATCAGGTGGAAATAGGAGCCAGTCTCCTTCTCCCTCCCAGATGAGAGATTTCTAAGATGGCTTCATTACCAAGTCTTTTGTAAGTAAACTGTGGAGAAAAATGCTATTTGTGGGGCCGTAATTGCCTGATGAGCATCATTAGATGGGTCTTTGAAATACGCAGAGTGAAATCATTTTGGGTTTAGGAATTCTTTTGTGCAAATCCTTCTCCATTCACTATTCTCAAACGAGTTTCTGAAGGAGGGCTTCTTGACCAGAGACTGGTTCCGGCCAGCGACACACTTGCTCTGCATATTCAACCAACAAATATTTATTAAGTGTCTTCTCTGGGTCAGACAGTCCTTCCGGTACTTATGATACAGCAGTAAGTGAAACACACAAAGATCCCTACCTTAATGAAGTTTACATTCTGGTAAGAACTCAGAACATAGGTGCCCATTTCTGGGAACAAACTTGGCAGAAAACTTCATAAATCAAGTTTGTCTAATTGATGATAGAGGAACTGCAAAGTAAAAACTCTTCTGATTCCTTATGTGTGATTTCAGTGTACCCATAACAATGTGACACTTGGAAAAAAACAGATTGCATGGGCTAGGGATGCTAAATAAATGACATATATGCCATCACTTTCCAAACCTGCACCCATGGCAGACATCACTAATCAATCACCACCCTTTTTCTGATAAGCTTGGATGCAACCTCAGAATACATATCAACACAAAACTGGGGCAGCCCCTACCAATGGATCAGAGTTGGCTGGGAGAGAAAATCTATTTGCTGTTTTTGACTTAGGCTGTTATTCATTCACTTCACTGAGCAGCTGCAGAATATTCCAGTAAATTAAGAATAACACCAGGAAGGGACAATCACCGAGAAGATAAGGTGAGAGATTGCAGCTATTTTCTCAGGCTAGTTTTCCTCTCAAGCGTTCTTCTCTCACATCGCTCCTGAGGTTTACAAACACGATGAGTCAGCACAGGCTTTGCAGTCTGGCAGACCTGGGTTCAGGTCCCGGTTCTGTTACTTCTAACTGTGTGGGACTTTGGTTGGAGCCCCACCTGCCTCCCTGTGAAATGGGTATAACAATGACACCACCCTCCTAGGGTTGTTGTGCAGATTAAATAAGCCAACAGGGTACTGCTGGCTCTGCTCGGGGCTGAAATCCAGCTGTGACACACCAGCACGGATGCACATCTGTGAACAGCTGGCATCGCTCTGACTGGTTGGTGCTTGTGTCATCAGAGTTGTTAAATGTTTTGAATATCACCCCTGGACGTTAATATTAGTTTTATTTAGGGGGCCGGTCCCCTTATGGGAGACAACTTCAGAACTCTGGAGGCAAAACAGAGGCTGCTTTTTACACCAAAATAATGTTTCAATAGAATTCTGGGTTGTTTTCTTGCTAATCAAAAATTCATGTTCCCAGTTCTGAACTGCTCAACCAGTACAGAAAGACAGTAAGGATGTGGATAATAAAAATAATCTTTTAAGATACTTATTAAGAAGCACCTAACAAGCATAGTCTCGTTTAATCCTCGCAATAACCCCGTGAGGATTAAAGTATCACTAAATCCACTCTGTGGAAGGAGAAATTGAGTCTCAGCGAGGTGAGGATTCCTCGTCTAAGGTCACACAGCTGGTAGGAAGTGGCAGAACTAGGACCCGACTTAGGCAATCTGACTCCAGCGCTGAAGTTCTTACTTGCTGTGTGTGACAATGGTCCTTCGCATTAAAAGCTGATGCCTGACTCAGAGTTGTGTTTTCACAGGGCCTGGCCCAGTGATTGTGCCACTGGCCATCCCTTGTGTACGTGGGTATAAGGGTAGGTGGGTGGAAATACCTTACCAGAGGTTCTGGGGATGTGACAAGCAAGCCCTGGCTGACCACAAAGGCCCAGGACAGGCTAACCTTCCCCTCAGAGGGACCTGTTCTTCCTCTGAGGTCAAGACAGACTCCCACAAATAAAGGGAGAATATGCCTTCTTTACCATAAGGGCCCAGGGGCTGCAGAACCCTGAGGCCTCCAGCCTTTCCAGGCTCAGACAGACACTAGGCAGGTGGCCTGCCAGGACAGGTGCCGAGGAGAAGGGGGCTTCCGGAGAGCTGGCTCACCTTGAATGAGATTTCATACTGCTCCCCTCCCCAGATCTCCAGGCCTGGGTCGTACCCGCCCAGCTCCCAGAACCACTTCCGATCCACAGCAAACAGTCCACCAGCCATCACGGGAGACCTGTCAGGGGAGAAGAGCGAGGTGTGAAGACGCGGGCCTGGCGGCCACGTGCTCCCAGTGCCCTCTGACACTGCTGTACCCCGGATGGTGTTCCTCGCTGCTCCGAGAACTCAGCCCACAGCAGGGAGTCCAAGGACCCTCTGAGTGAGGGCGCAGGGTTTATTCTTCCTTGCCTACATGTCCATTCATAAATGCTACATTTTAACCAACTGGACCCAAAGTTCCTTTCCATGGTTTACACCAAAGAATACTTGTGAAATAAATCATAGTACTTTCTCCCTGTGGGGCTCATAGCAGTATCGTGTGTGTGTGTGTGTGTGTGTGTGTGTGTGTGTGTGTGTGTGTGTGTGTATCCTCAGTCCTCCCACTAGTTAAATGGCCCAAATCAGGTCTTTCCAAGACTGCCTATCCTATAGAATGTCTTGGAGAGATGAAAAAAACATTTGGTTTCCTGGGCCTTACCCCAGAACCACGAGACAATCTCTAGGGGATGGAGCGGAGGAAACTGCTTTCGGACATGCTCCTTGCAGGGTTTGTACTCAGTCAGCACAGACATTCATCTGCTGAGAGTTTACAGGAGACAGAGTTTCTGATCTTTCAGTTAAACAGGGATAAGATTCACTCCGCTCATTCATTCTCTCTTTAGTTCATTCACTGAGTGCCAGCTGGGAAGCAGGTGCTGGGTGCTGGTAGAATATGGAGGTGACTCAGGGTTGGACTGGGACTTCAGGAGATACCAGCGTGGTGGGGCAGCCACCCCAAGACAGAAGGGTCCAGAGGCAGGTGGTGTGTACAGGAGTGTGAAAGGAGGGAGCGTCTGCTTCTAGGTTTTGGGGGTGAGGAGGGAGGCTGGGGCAAAAGTCAAGGAAGCGTGTTCAGAGGGGTGGCATTCGAGGTGGGTTTGGACAAGTGGAGACTGGGGGTAGGGAAAGGCACGCAGGAGGAGAAAACACAAAAGGAAAGACACAGATGATAAATTATGGGGTGCCATGGGGAACAGGAAGTCATCATGGCATCGTGCCAAGTCCAAGGGGGACGCGTGCTGCGACCTGCCCAAATCCCTCGAGGCTCCTCACTCAGGGTCAGCACCTAAAAAGGCCACAGGTAGCTGGTACGTGAAAATCTCTCGGAGTGGCCGTATCCTCATCTGGCTCCGCTGGAAAACTCCAAACCTTCAAATCAAAGCACGTTCCAGCAGCAACCTCCACGTCCCCTCCTGGCTTTGGGAGCTGCAAGCTCATGGAACATGCATGCCAAGATTCCTGTAGCAGCTGAGCGCTGACAGCATAGGAGGGACTCCTTTAAAACGGGATCCCGCGCCCAGCTACCGGGGGCTTGAATACGCCAGGTGCTGCACTGAACTACTTTATTAATAAAACGACTTCACTCCTCACGCTGACCTCACGAAGCAGGCCTCAGGATTACAGCCCCATTTTACGCATGTAGAAACCAGAGTACAGACAGGTGACTCGCTCGAGGCTTTACAGCTACTAAGCAGGTTTTGACTCTCTAATCAATGCCACAGCCCACACTCCTGGTCAGGAAGGGACAATCAAGAAGTAGGTAACAATGAAAAGGACAGGGGATCAGCAATGGGAAAACCCTCACTGTGACCTCAGCTCTCCTTCCCTGCGGTGTGACCTAAGCAAAGGGTTTAGCCACCAAGACCCGTGCTGCCCACTACAGCTGCCACTGGCCACGTGTGGCTACTGAACACTGGAATCGTGGCTAGTCTGGGTTGAGACGTCTAGGAAGTGTAAGCTATACCCCGGATTTCTGAGACTTAGTATGAAGTCCAGAATAGAAAAGATCTCATTAATAATTTCAAAGTGTTGGTTACATGCTAAAATGAGAACATCTTAGATATACTGGGTTAAGTAAAATATGTTAAAAAACGAATTTTACCTGCTTCTCTTTACCTTTTTTTAAATGGGGTGACGAGGAAATGTAAAAGTACGTATGTGGCTCGCATCGTGTTTCTGCTGGATGGTGCTGATTTAATGTCTTCGAGCCTGTTTCCTGCCTACACATCTGATGTATAGGTGTACTTCCTAGCTTACCTTGCTAGTATATTTCTGGACCCAGGATTATAAGAAAATAAGGTGTCATTAGTTATCAACACTCCTTTGTCTGCCGAAGGTTTCGGGCTTGGTTTTCTGGCTGGAGCCTTACATACACTGTTCGGAGGGGCAGAGTGTTTCTGACTTGATGCTTCATGAGAAATCAAACCCAAGACTCGGCACACGAAGACAAGCCTGGGTGGAAGGCTGGGCAGGGGCCGAGGAGATGCCTTCTTAGGGGTTACCTCCCAACACACAGGCTACTTTGGAAGCTTGAGGACTTGCCTCCAGAGGGAGGCCTCTCCTCTAGCGGGGTCTATTTTCTACTGTGTTCAGCAACAATAATAACAACAATTCTGAGTGTCTAGTGCGTGCCACTCATTTTACTGACATTATCCCCGGCTCTCGCAAAGCCCTATTACTAGCCCCCATTTCAGATGGAGGAATGTGAAATTCAGAAACACTACATAATCTGTTCAAGGGCATGCAGCTGGTAAGTGGATGAGCTGTGATTCAAACCGGGGTCGGCTACCAAAGCCGAGTCTTTCAAACGTCATCCCCCACGCTGGGCCTGCAGATTGCCTGCTCACTGGCACCGCGGGGAGGTGTGCAGAGAAGGTCCAGGATTTCTCAAGTGGCCTCTCCCCTGGGTTCTGTCCAAGTACAATACAGAGGAGAGGCTTCTGGAAGGAATCAGAGGATGCGAAGGAGGGGGAGCCCCTGACGGAACACCCAGGCCAGTGGCTGTCAACCTTGCCACACATCAGCATTACCTGGGAGCTTCAGAAAACAATGCTGTCCAGACCCTACCCCCAGACGCTGGTGTAATTGGTCTGGGGGGTGGCCTGGGTGGATTTTTGTTTTGTTTTTTAAATAAACTCACTACGTGATGCCAATGGGCAGCCAGTGTTGAGAGCCATTGTCAGGGGCCTGGCAGCCAACCCCAGCACAACCCAGGTGAGGAGCCTGAGGCCCTGGGGGAAACTGGCCGGGCCTCTGCTACTGACCAATTGCATGACCTGAATTTACTCTCTCCTCCTCCTGAAATGAGGAGGATGGACAGGCCAGACCCACGCTATGTGCCTTTCAAATCTTAGGGCCTATGAGTCGGCTCATGGCAAAGGGTCAAACCATAAAGGGGGTTCTGGTCTTCCTGAAAATTCCATTTTCTGGAGCGGCCCAGCTTCTGCTACACGTCACCTTAGGCAAGTGTCATTTCCTCTCTGAACTGGACCAGGAAGGGCTCTAATTAGAGTGTTTGGCCATTTTGAGGGTATAGGCAGTCAGGAGAGGAACACGAGTGTCTGACCTGCTGAATGAGCACGGCGGCCCCACTCGCGCCCTCCACTCTCAGCTCAGGCTGCTCCATCGCCCGGCCACCTTCCGTTTCCTCGGAGCCCACCTGCTCCCACCTCTGAGCCTTTGCTGGGGTGCGCAGCATTAGGGGCTCCCTTCAGGAACCCTGGGTATGCAGTGTGCCCATGAAGATGGCTCAGCTGCCAAGAGCCCCCTTTTTCAGGTGGGAAGGGAGGGGCACAGAGAAGTGGGGGCCAAACTGTGGTTAGGCAGGTGAGGCAGACAGAATAATGCCCCCCCCCACCCAAAGAAGTCAATGTCCTAAATTCCGGAACCTGTGACTATGTTATCTTACACAGCAAAGGGGCTTCGCAAGTGTGATGAAGTTAAGGATCCTGAGGTGGGGAGATTACCCCGGTGGGCCCAATGTAAACCACAAGGGTCACTGTAAGTGAAAGAAGGGGGCAGGAGGGTCCGGGTGAGGAGGGGATGTGATGATGGAAGCAGAAGACAGGGAGAGGGAGAGATGGGGGCAGGGGGAAAGGTTGGGGGGCTCGGAGCTGCTATGCTGCTTGCTGGCTTTGAAGATGGAGGAAGGGGCCGAGAGCCAAAGAAAGCGGGCAGCCTCCAGGAGCTGGAAAAAGCAGGGGAACGGGTTCTCCTCTGGAGCGTCTGGAGGGGATGCGGCCCTGCCGACACTGAGGGTTTAGCCTAGCAAGGCTCATCTCAGACTTCTGACCTCCGGAGCCTTAAGGAAAAAAAACTTATGTTGTTTTAAGAAGCCAGTAAGTTTGTGCTAATTTATTACTGCAGCGATAATTAGGAAATGAATCCAGCAGGAGAGCCTGGACTTTGGCTTTGCACCCAAAGATCTTCTCGACATCTCCAGCAGGAGAGCCAGAGCGGCTCACGTGACAGCGCAGGGATGGCGGGCCCACTGTGCGAGAAAAGCCCCTTTCCAGTTTGGAGTACCAGAGAGGGACCGGGCTGTTTCTGGCTCAGCCACTCACTCACTGGGAACCCCGGGGGGACCCTGCCCCTCCTTGTCCTGAGACCTCAGTCTCCTCGCCTGGAAGGGACGGAGTCCATTACCTGTAGGTTCCCTCCAGCTTTGACATTCTAGGACAGCGGTTCTCAACCTTCCTAATGCCGCGACCCCTTAATACAGTTCCTCAAGTTGTGGTGTCCCCCAACCATAAAATTATTTTCATTGCTACTCTGTAACTGTAATTTTGCTAGTTATGAATCGCAATGTAAGTATCTTTTTGTTTTCTGATGGTCTTAGGCGACCCCTGTGAAAGGGTCGTTCGACCCCCAAAGGGGTTGCGACCCACAGGTTGAGAACCACTGTTCTAGGATGTTATAAGTCCAGTCCATACCCCCTCCCCAAACTTCTACCGTGGGACAAGCAGTGACTTCCCTATCACCTCCGAGACAGTGTAACAGAGTGATGGAAAAACTGGCTTCCGAGGCAGACAGACGGTGCGTGTACACCCGGCCCTTGCCACTTCACACTTGCTGTGTGACCTGGGCAAGTCGCTTAACCTCTTGGAACTGTGGTGTCCCCACTGGAAAACCTGGGTAATAATTTTAATAGCTGTTGTGGGGGTTAAGAAGGATCAGGGTGTAAGACGCCCAGCACAGTACCTGGCACTGAGCACCTGGGGAGGATGGAGATGATGGTGACGATGACCATTGGAGGCCACGCTGGGGGTGAGGGCATGAGTGGCTCTACCCACTCTCGGCTGGCAATCCCCGCAAACTGTGCAGAGTGGACAAGGAAGAGGTGACTAGCTTGGCGGTCCATGAGCTGGGAGGGGCTGTGCTTCTTGTTGGAGACATCTGCCCTGACCCCTATGCACTGGACTTTTGGGGGAGGTGGTAGCCCTAAGTTGTGTGTGTGTGGGGAGGGGTCACTGGGTCACCGCTGGGACCAGCCTGAATCGTTCATACTTACTCAAACGGGTCGCTGGGGTCAGCTTTCTGCAGCTCTGGAGGGATTGGGATCCTTTTATAGTACATCTCCCAGTCAAAGGCGCCCCGCATGGCATCCCCGGCCTGGGTCTCGTACCGAAAGTCGTCGTGGTCAATCACATCAATCATCGGGCACACGATGGTCTTTCGGTTCCGAGCAATGCGGTCTGAAGGAGCCAAGAGACACCCATTAGGGAGGAGGACGAGGAGCAGCTAACCACGACGGCCCTGTTCTGCAGCTTACTTGCACTTTTAATGTGTTCCCTGGGTGACTTCTCTGAACACTGGAGCTTGAGAATCCTGGAGAAGGAAGGGCGCAGGCTTTAAGCATGGGCTCCCATCCCAGTCCTGGTGCCTGTGACAGGGGCCCTGGGCCAGCTACATAACTGATGTCTCCAAGCTCCAGCGTTCTCCTCTAGAGGTGCCAGCGAGCTGTTGGGGCAGACGAGGGGTAAGTGGGCCCAGCTGGGTTGCCTGGTGGGTTGCCAGGAATCAAGCTCAAGACTTGGAATGGGGAGCCTGGTAGGGCCAGAGTAGGCCGGCAGTGGCCTAGAGCGCAAGTGTCATCAAGCTACCACATATATTTCTCTCAGGAGAGAAAACAGCATTTTTGCCCTTTTCTAAACTGTAGGACACGATCCATAGGTGGGTCATGAAATTGATTTTGTGTGTGTGTGAGTAATGAACCAAAAAATAATACTAAATATCAGGGTACATTCCCGGTGAGAGGTCCTGTTTCAGGAAACTTGTTTCAGTCATACCGTACATATGTGTGTGTGTGTGTGTGTGTGTGTGTGTGTGTGTGTGTGTGTGTGTGTGTCTGTGTGCAGGCGTCCGTGCGTGCGCACTGGATGGAGATGTCCAGTGTATTTTTAACTGGCCCATGGTCTAAAAAGTTTGAGAAATGCTATCATCAGTGTGTCCTCAAGAACGGATGCGGGGCTACCAGTGCCAGATGCACCCTGGGTGTGTTTAAATGTCCCCACGGCCGCCCCCATCCCAGGCCCACTGAATCAGAATCTCTGGGATCAGTCTTGTGCACAGGCTCCCCGGGGGGTCTTCACAAGGCTGAGGACACTTCTCCAGTGAAGGATCCAGAGAAGACCTCCCTTCTTGATTATTCATGGCCAGTCAGGGGATTTCACTTCCAGGGAGGGTCTGTGCTGAGGACACAGTGCTCTGCTGGACGCTGACTAACTGTGGGAGGTCTGAGGCCAAAGGGCGGCATCAGAGAGGCAGCATTCGGTGCTGTGTCACTTGGGGACAGAATGCCCAGGTTCGAACCCTGGTTTTGTCACCCACTAGCAGTATAACCTTGGGAGAGCTTATCTGATGCCTCTGAGCCATGGTTTCCTTGCCGACAGAATGGAGGAAGACAGCATCTATCTTGTGGGGGTCTCTGAAGGCCACGTGGGACGATGGCACCCAGGTGCTGAACACGCGACGAGCACGTCTGACATTCTGGCACCAGGGTTGCTGCAAGAGGCTCAGGAGCAGGAGTTGGAAGCCCAGTTTTCTCATTTGCAGGATGTGAGTAATAATGCCTGGCCTGCCTGCTCCACCATGTAACTGTCAGATTCAAATGGGAAGTAGCCTAAAAAACTAGGAGACTAGCAGAGCCTTGATGATGGTGATGGCGATGGCGATGGCGATGGTGATGGTGATGATGGGGGAGGAAATGATGATCGACAGTGGCTGTCCTTCAGGGGGCTGAATCCTTCTCAGGCCCAGAAATGGCTACTCTCCAAAGAAGGCAGAGTGAGCTATACACTGAGGTGTTAATGGTTTCAGAGACAAAGCCATGATGTGCTCTCTCTGCTGATCGTATCAGCAGGGCAGACTTTTAAATCTACAGCACTGGTTCACATTTCTATTGGAAAAAGAAAATAAAAGAGGGGAAATGCCTCTTCCATGTGTGTCTGTAGCTCATGAAAATTGCTCTCAGGCATTTCCATAGAAACAGAGTTCAGGGCTGTGTGGACGACCAGCTCTACTTCCTGTCCCACCACTCCACTCTCTGCAAGTCACTGAACGACCCACAAATGGCTTGTTCCTTCAGGTCTATAAATTAGATGATCTTTGGTGAGGCTTTTTTTCTTTTTTGTTCTCTGGCAGTAACAAGAGGCAGATGCAGACCTCTTGGTTTAACAAAGTCAACAGCTTACCAGAAAACCTGGGTTCTACCTTTTCCTAACCCAGTGGGGTTCTGGGCCCTGGGGTTCAGAAGCACAAAATCTAACACTAAAGTTCCACGCCGATCTGTGTTGGAACACAAAGTTGCTGGGTTATCCCATTTACCTGTGTGTCTTTTGCTTTCTGTCCTCACCCCTGAATGGTGGCTTACCCAGTGCTCCTCAAAGTGTGGTCCCTGGACCAGCAGCACTGGCATCACCTGGGAGCTGGTGAGAAATGCAGCTTCCCAGGCCCCTCCCTGGACCGCTGGAATCAGAAACTCTGGGGTGGGGCCCAGGACTCTGTGTTTTAACAAGTCTTCTAGGTGATTCTGCTGCATGCTTGAGTTTGCCTGACATGTCAATCCTCTTTGCCTAAGCTTCCTGTTATGGAGAGCACAGCCCTCCATTTCCGAGGGGTTCACTTTTCTCTCGGGATTAATAACTTCCCTACTCTGCCTCCATCCGTGTTCCTCGCCTGACTCACAGTCTCAATGGGACATTTCCTCTTCAATGTTCCCCTGTCAGCACTGGCTCACCACCTTCATCAAAGCTGAACTCCTCAGGGTTCAGGCCTGTTTCACCAACCAGCTATGAGGCGCCTTGCTGCCCAGCGTCCAATTCTCGTGTCTCCCTTCCGTCCTCAACGCTAAGGTGGATGATGCCTGGATCACGCTGCCCTCTGTCTCTAGCTCTTCCCTGAGAGCTGTCAGAAACTCTGAAGAGGAAATGAATTTAGGGAGGCAGTGTGGCATCATGAAAGAGGATAGTCTCTGGAGCCAGACAGATGGTGACTTTGATGCTTATGGCCCAGGGGAACAAGTGAGTCACTTCACATCTCTGAACTTCAGCTGCTTCTACCATAAAAAGGGGATACTTTGGACTTGGTCTGGTTTTCTGAGGATTAGGGATAATGTTATACCTTTCCCGGCTCACAGAAGCAGTGCATTGAATGGTAACTGTCCTAAGTTGATATGATGATGTCTTCTCACAACTTGGCTCTTAATAACAGGCAGCCTTGGCTTGCTTTCCAATAAAACTTGAAGTAATCTGAGGGAAGGCAATCACGTCACTAGACACTTGTGTGCTGTATGACACTGGGCAGGCCACTTCCCCTCTCTGAATCACACATTCCATCGCTGTATAATGAAGGGATGGGGCTGAATGGATTTGTAAGGTCTCTGAGCACTCCTGAACTTCTGACTCCCTCGAGGCACACGGCACTGTGCTGGGTGCATCTTAAGCAGGCAAGGGAACGCCTGTGGGTAGCTCCCCGCAAAACGCTGGGGCCTACGGCGGCTGGCTCATTCCAGGCCACCTCCCTCGTTTTGGGAGGGTCCCTTACCGAGCAAGGGGGGGAGCCAGTTGACATTGGCTTCACAGTGTGAGTCCAAGAATGTGATGACATCCCCGGTTGCTGCTGAGGCGCCCAGCATCCGGGTCCTTATCAGCCCTTCCCGTTTCTTGGTTCGGAGAATCCTCACGCTGGGGTAATGGGCCATGTAGTCTTCAAGTGGCTTCTTCAGGTGCTCTGTGAGGCAGACAGAACAGGACAGAGGGACAGATGGGTCAAAATGGTTGCTCAGAATTGGTAACTAAAATATCAGGGATAGAAAAAGACAGTCTGGGGAATATAATCAATAATGCTGTAAATATTTCTTAGGGGGCCAGATGGACTCATGTCTTGTGGGGGAGACCACTTCATAGTCGGTGTAGAGGCCTGATCACCGCACTGTGTTTCTGAAGCTGATGTTGAATAATATTGTATGTCAACTATAATTGTATATACATATAGTCACGGGATGTGGAGTAGAGAGCGGGAACGGATTCAATGGAATTGTAATAGATAAGCATGATATCGGGGGGGGGAGGGCAATAGATGGGGAGAGGGGGGTTGTTACTTTGTGAGGGTGAAAAGGATAACTATTGCATTGTTCTGTACACCTGAAACTAACAAGAAAAATAAAAAATAATAAAAAAATAAAAAAGAATAGCTGCTCTGCTCAGTAATCATTCTTGTGACCCTTCCCTTACATGTACAGTGTGCTTTACAGTTTAGACACAGCTTCCCAGTACAGTGCCTCATCAGACCTTTCAGGCAGGGCCAACGAGGGCAGGGATCACCACCTGCATGCTGCAAATGGGGAAACTGAAGTTCAAACAGGTCCAGTGATAGTGCTAGACCTGGAATACAGAGGGATCTTCTGTGGCAGCTGTGGTTTATACCTGGCTGGGGCCCATTCCCTTATTTTCTGGTAATAATACTCTGATTTTTCTTTGGGAAACTACCCCTCTCCTCAGACCATCAGACTTGGGTGGGGCTGGTCCCAACCCCTGGTTTCAAGGGAATGAGTCTATGGCTTGGGTCTGATCAACCAGGGCACTCCATTCCCTTGGCCACAGTGATGGGTTCAGGGGATGGCCATGGGACCTGATTTGCCCAAATAATCAATTCTGAGAGTCTTTTTCGGAGCTACTAAAAAAAACTAGGTCCTTTCTTTTTGCTAGGGTTAGTCATTTGGTTGACCATGAGTTTGGAGCTGCTGGTGACATCTTTGGCAAATGAAATGATGATTTGGTGGAGGGATCTGCTGAGACTGAAGCTAATGTGTAAAAAGAGAGTTAAGAGATGGAGAGAGATATTACCCTGAAGACATTTTGATTCTTCAGATGCTCCTGTGCCTGATACAGATAGATTTCTAGATGTTCTTATTACAAGTGACAACGAATTCCTCTTTTGGCTTATTGTAACATCAGTTGCATTTCTGCTCCATGCCTGGAAAACTTCTTCTAAATAAGTCTCAAAGATTCTACTAAATGCTACTGTCTCTTAATTTTAATCAGAGTTTGGGCCGTTTATGAAAACTCTAGTAGGGCTACAAAAAATCTCCACAGTTTACATCATACTTACTGATGAAATATTGACTGTTTTTCTCCTACAAATAGGAGAAAGGCTGTATGCTTTCTTATCACTTATTTTCAATATTATACTAGAATTCCTAGCTAGTGCCATTGGTAAGACAAAGAAATAAAAGACATAAAGATTGGAAAGAAAAAGGTCTTTCCAATCTTTAAAGATTTTATTTTAAAGAATTAAAGTCTTTAATTATAGATGACATGATTGTACATAGAAAATCCTAAGAATCTACACAGAAATTAGAACTCATAGGTAAATTTAACATAGTTTCAGAATACAGGTCAGTATTTTAAAACCAATTGTATTTCTATTTACTAGCAAATAAAAAACAATTGGAAAATGCAATTAAAATGGTAAAAAAAATACCATTTGCAATTTAACAAAAGAAATGCAAACTGCATACTTTGAAAACTACAAAACATTGTTGAAAGGAATTAAAGACCAAAATAAATGGACAAATAGTCCATGTTCTTGGATTGGATAACTTAATATTGTTAAGATGGTAATACCTCCCATGTTGATCTATAAATTCAATGTGATTAAAATCAGAGCTGACTTCTTTGCAGGAATTGACAATTGACAGCTGATCCTAAAATTTATGGAAATGCAAGGGATGACAGGATCCAGAATAGCTAAAAAATCTTTTGATTACTTACATGAATGTTTACAGCAACACTAGTACAGCAAATGGTGGAAATAACCCAAGTTTCCAACATCTCATGAATGTATAAACAAATATGGAATATATCCATATAATGCACTATTATTATTTAGGCATAAACAGGAATGAAGAACTGATACATGCTATACTGTAAATGAATTTGGAAACATTATACTAAGTAAAAGAAGCCAGACACAAATGTCACTTATTGTATGATTCCATTTGTATGAAATTTCAAAATAGGTTATCCATAGAAACAGAAAGTGGTTGCCAGGAGATGGGGTAGGGGGAGTGGGGAGTGACTACTTAATGGGTATGGGGTTTCCTTTTGGGGTGATAAAAACATTTTGAAACTAGATAGAGGTGATGGTTGAACAACACTGTGCATGTACTAAATGCCAATTAATTGTACACTTGAACATGGTTAATTATATGTGAATTTTACCTCAATTTTAAAAAATGGGTCAAGAATATAAACAGGTACTTTTCCAAAGAAGATATACAAATAGCCAAAAGCATGTCACACATTGCTTCTGGTATGGCAATTTCTGTCAAATAAAAACATTACAGTGTGTCCTCATCCACCTTATTCACTGGATCTGGCACTGTGTGACTTCTGGCTCTTCCTCAAAGTCAAAATGACCATGAAAGGTAAATGTTTTGAATTGATTCAGGACATGAAAGCAGCCACGCCAGTACAATGAAAGACATTCACAAAAGAGGACTTCCAGAACTGCTTCAGAAAGTGGCAAGAGCGATGGAATAAGTGTGTTCGAAGCAAGGGGGAATATTTTGAAGGAAATTAATGGCAATGTGTCTTTTACAGTAATCAATATTTTTAAATTTAAACATTCACTGGTTTTTTTTTTTGTTTTTTTTAGATTTTTATTGGGGAACTGCGGGGATGGGAACAGTGCTGGGGAATTGGGGGAAGGGGAACAGACAAGTTGCTGTCGTTTTGTTCTTCAGTCT